GTCTGTGAACAGAGCACAAAGGCAAACCCGGCATCTGCCCAGCTTTTTCATCTGGACAGGCGGCACCGCGGCGATTAATTGAGACTTGTGCTTCTTTCCCAGCCACGGAGTGTGGGTGCAAGAGCACAGGCTGGGACCCTAACGGGGGCAACAGAGACCTTGGCCCCACTGCCATTCTCTTTGCTAGGCTTGGCTTAGGACAACTGGACCAAGAACTGTGTTAGTTTCCTTAAAACCTTCTTCACTGATCTAAAGGCATCAGACACATGGCCTTGGCACTAATGCCACCAAGAAATTAAATTAAACCCATTACAAAACTAATGTTTACCATTTGGAAACAAACATGCAAAATTATTCCTATTTAGAGCTGGGTCAGCAATGTTGGGGTTGGTTGGTTCATACCAACTTGTGTGTGTGTGTGCGCCTGTCCCCAGGGTGAGCGTTCTTTGGCATGGAAGCACCATATGCACCTGAAAGTGGTCCTAGTTCTCCAGTAGGGATGTTGGTGAGCAGCATGGGGGATTCTAGCACAGTAGCTGGCCAAGAGTCTGGAAGGAACCTCCACATAGCTCTATTTAATCTAGAAGATTCTCCCCAGCCCCCATTTTTCTCTGGGTAGTATCCACACCCACTGTAAGTCATTAACTTGCAGGACAATTTGTTTCAAAAGAAAAAATACTCTGACTTATTAAGAAACTTGTAAAGCCTGTAGCACAAAGATTAGAAAAATACGCATAGAGGAAGTAGAATGGAACCTATTACCATGAAAGTCATAAATCCCTAAGTAAAAGGAAGTCGTAAATGGAAGATACTCAGTTGGGAGGGGCAGCAGCTCGTCTAGGGGATGTTCTGCTTGAATTTGGGGTAGCCCTGAACGGGAGGCCCAGGAGAGGCACAGAGGCCTTGAGTCTGTGGGCCTCCTTTCTGTTGAGCAGGGCCCCCTCCCTCTCTGAGGACCGCACCTTGGACCCTGCTGCCCGTTAACCTGTTCAGAGCCTTGACAGGCCAAAAAGGCCTGTGAGACTTGGGGGTCCTGGGCATTCCTTGAGAGGGCTCATATGCTGCTCTTGGCCTTCTCCGTTCCTCCAGTGTTTCTCACGCCTCCCTCCTTCGTGCATGGGGGAGGGCGGGGGGGGCAGGATGCTCCTTGCAGCAGTCCTGAGGGTGCGAGGTGAGAGGTAAGAGGTGCAGCAGGGATTGCCTCACCCTGGCCTGACTCTGGGAAGCTCCATTTCCCACAGAGGGGCTGTAGGGCCAGGCCAGAGACTCTAGAATCCTAACTATGAAGTGCTTCCTATTGTGAGGAACTACAAGGAAAGATCCCTTGGCAGACTATTACAAGACGCCTCACATCTAGGCAGTGGAAGGAGGACAGTGGTGTGTCACTGAGGTGAGCCTGGGAGCGGCAGCTCTGTCCTCAGGGCTGCTCCCCTCCCCACCCCCAGCCCTCAGTGCACCAACTTGCTCAGTCTCGAGCCTGCTGCTTTGGCCTCAGCTGTTAATCCTCTCAGGTGGGTAAGTGGGACAGTGGGGGAGGGGGACTCCACAGCTCCCACTCTGGCCCCAGCCCCATCAGCTCTAGGAAACAGAGCAGAGCCTGGGCTTTGGCCTTGGCAGAATAGCACAGATCAGTGACTGGGGAGAGTGGGTCCGCCAGTGGAAGGAGAGGCTGTGATTTCTTAACCTTGATGGAAAAGGGGGAAAGCCACATCTTACCAAACTCTTCCGCTGCATCATAGAGAATTTAATTACGTTTGGACATTTGAATAAGAACCAGATGTGGTTCTAGCCCGTCAGGCCAGCAGCGTTCAAGGAGCAGCGTCTCTCCTGTGTCTGCAGGCCCCGGTGCTGTCTTGGGGCCCTGGAGGGCAGCTCGGGAAGACCCCGCCTGGGCGCTTGGTGGGGTCTTCTGAGTTTTGAGGCTGGACTTTAGGAGATAGGCAGGTCCAGGCCAGCTGCCAGACACCTGGCTCCGCGGGAGAATTTCCAAGCCCTGCCCCCTCCTCATAGCCATGCTGAGTGGGCATGTTTGTGGGGCCCTCGTGAGCACCCGCAGCCACCCCACATGCAGATGCACCCACAAAGAAGTCACGTTGCAGCACCTGGCTGGGCATTCTCTACCACCGAAGACATGTCGCTGTGCTGCCTGACCCTGAGTCGACCTCACATGGCATCTGCCGGGGCTCTGCCCTTGGTGTCGTGCCGAGGACCTGGAGCTAGGAGGGCATTTCAGGCCCCCTGGGTGAGGAGCACTTCTCCAGGGGCCTCAGCCTGCTGAAACACCAGCGATGGCAACGCTGATTTTCTAACCAGGACCCCACTGCAATAATAGTGGTCTCTCACACGTCTTCGGTGTGTGTTCTGCTGCTTAAAGCCCCATCACGTCGTTTTTTCTTTCGAGCCTCGCACCTGCAGTGAGGTTGCCTGAGCAGCCCCTCCCCTCCTGCCTGACAGATGATGAAGCAGATGAGAAGTGAAGTGACTTGTCCAGGTCATTCAGCACGTCTGGGGCAGAACTGGGGCTGGAGGAAGCTCAGCCTCCTACTCCAGGAGCCCTCCTTCTTGCCAAGGGAGTTTCAGCTCAGGCCTGCTCCTACGTCGGGCTGATCTTAAGCATAGCTTCAGCCAGATTTATCAAATACCTCAAAACCAGGGAAATGTGAGCCAGGTCAGCTCAGCCTTTGCTGTCCCCATGCGTAATGTGTTGTGGCAGGACATGCTCTGCCTTGGTCAGGATTTAAAGTTATACTAATAGAGTGGCACTGAGAGGGTCACTGCACATGGGGGGCTGGTCGAGGTGGTCTGGGAGGGGGATCCTGTGATCTTCTCCTTTGAAGCCAAGACTTGGGAGGGCTTGGGTAATGTGGGCTTCCTGGGAGTAGGGTGTGGCAGCATTTCTGGTTCCAGTCTTTCTCTGCCTGGGATTAGTGCCGTGTCACGGCCGTTACAGGAGGGACTTGGGGAAAGGCTCCAGCCCCCAGCCAGCACACCTTCTGGCTAAGACCCCACCTCCCATCATTGCTCATCAGCTGTTCAAAGGCTATGAAGGAATCTGGGGCTGGGCTGTGAGCTGCTCCACCTGGAACTCAAATGCACTGCTTCCCCCCAACACACACACACAGACACACACACACACACACAGCCGGCTCCAGGGAGAGGGGGTGGAGGATGTGGTAAGAGAGGCCTTTTGAATGCTGACCCTCCGTCCTGAGTCCTCCTCATTCCTCAGGCCTCCCTCCCTCCCCACCTCTTTTCTACTTTTATTCTCCCTTCCCTAACATTCCGGCCTACTCATCTCCTGTTATCACGCCCCTGTCTGAAGGAAGATCTGAGGTCTTCCCTGGGTCTTAGGTCTCCCCTGCAAACCCTGAGGTTATTAGGCACATGCACGGCCCCAGTGCCAAGGGAAGCAGTTCATGGTATCCTGAGCCAGGAGCGCCAGATCTTTATCCTCAATGTTTGGAACTGGGGAATGGAGGGCAGGGTAGGCCATGTGATCTTGGTCTCATTCTGTGACATTCTGGGTCTCAGTACCTGTGGGGGTCAGGAACAAGAGCTGGGCTAGGAGGATCAAAGCACATTTGTGGGAGCCCTGTGAGTTGAAAGAGACTCCAGCCAGGAAAGAAGGCACATGCCTACCCAGGGGCTGCGGGCCTCAGGCCGACGGCTGGAGCTCTCAGGAATGCCAGGCTGCATGTGTGGGGTAAGATCACTAGCAGTTGTGTGGCGTCAGTGGGCCAGGGCTCTGTGCTCAGACATAGGCGTTAAGCCCAGAGATAACCAGGCCAGAGTTAGCCCTGCTGCTCATCTACTCCTGAATTCCATCGGCCCAACCCGGATTCCTATTATCTGACCGCAGAGGAGCCTTTTCATCCTCAGCCCCTCAGCTTCGAGAAGCTGCCCTCCTTCCTTCCACAAGCATGCCTGGGAAGGGAACAAAAATCCCTGCTAGAGGAAAAAGGTGGTCCCTTCTCAGTCTCCCCCTGCCCCCATCCTCCATAGACCTCTGTGCTGGACAAAGAGGATGCCTGGTCTGTCAGCATCTCTGCAACCCAGCTCTGCAGCCTCAGGGAGGGGCCTGAGGGTGAGAAGAGCCACCACTGAAGGGTGGAGCTAGGAGAGGGGCGGGAAGAGGGAAGGTGTAGGGGAGCAGCCCAGCCTAGAAGGTGGGCGTGTCTGAGTGTGGAGACTAGCAGGGCCTCCCTACAGGCTGCCTCCTTTAACTGCTGCCCTTTTAACCTCCTGGAAAGTGCCCTGGGGTAGAGGCTGGCTCCCACCCGGAGTGTGGCCTTTGACAGGGCTCTGGGTTTCTAGAAGCATTCTCAGCCAACTCCATCTCTGTCTCCCTGAACAGACCTCTGCTTCCCTCAGCCATACTCTGCAGGAGAGAGCAGTAGTTTCCATGCCCAGGACTGGTGTAAGACAAGCAGCCCATAGCTGTGTCCACCTCCTAGTTGGCTTCTGGGCCGTCTCTCTGATTTCCAGCAGGAAACTGCCAATCCTGCTGAGCCCCGCAGGATGCAGTCAAGCCCCCGTCTCCTTAGCCCTTCTCTCTCAGTTTGCCCTGTTGGTCCCAGGCCCTGTTGGCATGCCCCTTGCTCATAAAGTTGATTGCTCAGGGCAGACCCCATTTGGATCCATTTGCTAAACTTGCAGCAGTCCTGTGGTCCCCTGGTCTCCTCTCCAAATATCCCGTCCAGGTAAGATGCTGAAACCCTAACCTCCCAGTCAGATGACTTCCTGCTCCACCGACCTCATTCTCCAGCCAAGAACTGTCACGGCAGAAAGGGATTAGAGCTGTTTCTGTTTGCAGATCTCCCCTGAGCCACGCACTGGGCAAAATAGGGCAGTTTGGCTGTGTGTTCTGTGCTCTGGAGCCACCTACTCCCCTGGGGTACCACTGAGCCCATCGCAGGCCAGGGGCTTAACCACAGGCCCTGCTTATGGAGGGGAGGGGGGAACTGGGAGGTAGATGCAAGAGGGAAAAATCGATGCATGTCAACAGGGTTGGAAATTTATTTTCCAGCTTGGAAGAGGGTATTTACAAAGAGGCAAAGAGGGAAATGAAAAGCTGTAAACACATATCTGCCATCTTCCTCCGTGGGCCATTTCTTGATTAAAAAAAAGAATCCTTCCCAAGCTCCAGTGGAGGGCGAGCTGGTGGGGGCCTGGATGGCAGAGACACCTGCTGGGGAGGGAAGATGGAGAAGGACCCTGAGGTCCCACAGATAGTCAGAATCACTAATACAATTGCACCAATAATAGTAACTCACATTTGATGACTGGAAGCTTTAAGCACTCTGTGATGCACTCTACATGCATTACTTAATTTATTTCTAACAACCACACTATGAAACAGACATTGTTATCCTTATGGCAGGAAACTGAGGCACAGAGCTGTTGAATAACTTGCCCAAAGTCTCCCAGGTGGCAGGGGGCCTGGGTTCTTAACCGCTTCCCTGAACTGCCCCCACAACCTGGGCAGACCCCTTGCCTCCCCTGTCTCAGGTCCTGGAGGCTGCAGGTGGGGTTGGGGGGAGCATTCTCCCTTCTCACTACCAGAAGTGAGCAGGCTGTGGGTGCAGGGTAAGACTGGCCCTGAGGTCTAATCCTGCTCCCACTAGGCTGCTTGAGTGGTTAGCTTGGGACTGGGGTGTGCAGCTGCAGCCAGGGCCCAATAAAAGTGCTCTGTTAATCCTTTAATGAGCAGCATCATGAGGCTCTAAGTGTATGGAGCAGGGCTGGCTGGAGCATCTGAGCACCAGCAGGGCTGGGCGTAGATGCTGCTCCTTTTGTGGTGGGGGAAGTGCCAGGGCTTCCTGGAGGCTGAACCAGGGGTCCCAGGCATCCTCTTTCCAAACACACACACACATATCACTGCCCTCATCGACCCTGCTACGTCCCAGAAATGGCCCTCCGCTGAATCCTGAGACTTGGGATCTCCCCAGTGCCCCCCCTCCCCCGAGAAGCCTTATGGGCGTCCCTCAGTGTCTCTAATTGGCCATCTGCCCCCACTGCCATCCAGCCTAGAAGAGGCCTGGAGAAGGTCAAGCCCAAAGTAGGACTTCACTCCTGACCCTCTGCTGAGGTCCCTTGCCCACCTGGGCTTCCCCAGCTCTCTCCAAGGCTCCTTAGCCCCTGTGTCATCAGCATTTCAGCCGCTCCCCAAGGAATGGGGGAACCGAGACCATGGCACTTAGTAAAGTGACTGATATATGGAAAGAGGTCTCTGCCCAGTCTGTCCTCAGAAGTCTCTGCCTTACCAGGCATAGGGTGGCCTCAAGGGAAAGAAGGGTCTGTACCCAGGGGAGAGGACAGCCCCTGGGAGAACCTTGAAAGTGAAGCAGCCTTGGGAACTAGCACTCCAGAAGGAAAGGCCACAGAGAGGGGCATCCTCATGCCCTGCCCCCGATGCCATCTCTGGCGCTGTGTGAGAGAGTCCTGGTCTGCCTCCATCCTCGGCCTCTCCCCCAGGTGGAGCTCTGAACTGCTCATCAGCACCCACCCACAGCTCCCAGGAGCCAATCTCTGCTGGTCCACCTTTGCAAAGGAGCCATAGTATCCCGCTGTGGGATGAGGGGGCAGGGGTGGTGGAGGAGTGAACTACCACAGAGAAGCTCCCTCATTCTGCAAGGCCCAGCCCAGGAGTGGGGTGTTATCTGTGGGCAGCCATGCTCCTACCTCCTCCCTGGGAGCTGGGTCTCCCTTGGTGTACATGCCCAGGTAACCAGAGTTGCTTCTCCCTAACAAGGTCAGCCACCTTGCTGCCCCCTCTGACACCTTTGAATTTTGTAAGGCTCCATATAGAGTGGGGGCAACAGGAGGATTGAGCTTTCTCTTTCCTGCACTTATTTCATAAGAACTGGGGCTCCTCCCTTTCAGTTCTTGCTCATTCCAAGTCCCTGTGGCTTGCCCATCCCGGTACCTGGCATAGAGGGGCATCTGTGTGTACCAGGCCCATTTTCCAACAAGAGCCAGCAGGAATGGGTGGACACAGCCAGTGGTGGGTTTTGGGAGCTGGTCTTGATGCTGGAGTTGTCGACATCTCCATCCTGGGGCCTGCACCAGCACCAGTTCTGTCTCAGGGGGACTACATACCCAGGGCCAGTGGCTTCCTACTCTTTCTTGATTTTGCGATTTGCAAGATGGGGAGACCAGCATCCACCTCCCAGGCTGCCAGAGTCACTGGAGAATGTGAGGTCACAATGAGATTATCTTGTCTGAGTCCAGCCACTGATGTGGGAGCTCCTCCTCGTTCCCCACCTTGTTTTGAGGCCTGGAGAACAGCCTCTGCTAGTGCTAGCTTTTCCCCACCGGCCAGAATCTATATACTTATCCTACGGGGCGCTGCTAGGGAGGCTTTCTTAGTCCCCACCACAGAGCCCCCGGCTCGCTCTCCTGCAGCCCTGGCAGGTTGCTGGTGGACGTTCCCCATAAGTCCCCCTCAGCTACAGGAGACTGCCCAGACCTGGAGGTCTTGAGTGTGGGGGAGGAGGCGGGCAGCCAGAAGCTGGGCCACTGAATCAAAACATCTGGAGGCGTCCCTGAAAACTCTACAGCCTGTCTGTGTCTCCGCGCCCTCTCCCAGCAACCCACCTGCATGGGGCGCCATCCGGCACTGCATGGGCCAGAGGCCCCTTCTCCCCCCTTCCCGTAGCTGCTCGCCATGCTCTGTGTGCGGCCCCTCTCCCCCCACCCCCACGCTGAAGAGGGTCTCGGCTCTGTCACAACAGTTCCATCTCTAGAACCCCCAAGACTGATTGGTCCCCACCCCCCTACACACGCATGTCACTGTCCTTGGCTGCAGAATTTTGCTGCAAGCTTGCCCCGCCCCCCAGTGTGACGCCTCCACACCTCCTATGCCCTCTCCACCTGCTTGCGGAGATCAGTGTACTTCTCAATCATTGTCCATATCTTTTCCAAAAAGATTCCTCAATGCTTTTCTTTTCAAAAGGGAAAAAAAAAGGAAAAAAAAAACAATGCCAACAGCCCAGCGTCCGTGAGCAACCCAACAGTAACAAAGCGTGTGTTCGGGATGGAGGAAGGTAAGGCCACCCATTTCCATTTGCCGCTTGCTCCTAGGGCTGGGCGGCTGGGGTGACTCGAAGGGGGGAATGTGTGTGCACCCCTCCTCCACTTCCATTTCTATACACGCTCATGGTTCTGTCTCAGTGAGGAGAGGAGAGAAGGGCTTTGACAGAAGGCATGTAGAAAAGTGTCCAGGACCAGCTAGGCCCCTGGTTCTTTTACTAGTAGTCCATGCTGAGGAAGAAGCCCCATCTCCCCTTACCACATCATTCATTCCTTCACTCATTCATTCATTCAGGGAATAGCTTTTGAGCACCCGCTGTTTTCCAGACTCTGTGCTTGGCACTAGGGATACAGAGATAAGGCACAACGCTGGCCCCTGAGGGACTCTTCACCGGGATGGAGGGGATGGATGGATGGGGACACACGTGTGAGCAGACAGTACACAGTGTTAGAGGGCCGGGGGCGGGAATCAGTACAGGGCACAGCAGGGCCTGACCAGGGTGGCAGGATGGGCTCACGGAGGAGTGGACACTCGTGCTAAGCTTTGGAAGATGAGCAGGCATTCCGGGGGCTGAGAGAGCCTGGGAAGGGCTTTTCATTCAGAGGGAATTGCATGAGCCCAGCCCAGAGGCCTGAAGCAGCCTGGAGAGATCCAAAGACTGCACAAGTTCATTACTTTGGTTCAATATCAGGTGACATTAGTGAGATGGGGTCAGAGGGGCAGGTCACTGAAGGCCACTTCATAGTATTGAGGCATTTAGACCTTATCCTGAGGACCATTAGGAGTCAGTGACGGTTTTTAAGCAGAGGAAAAGCAAGATGAGGTTTGTGCTGTAGACAGACCACTCTGGCTTTGGTAGGGGCATGGATCGGAGAGGGGGGTCTGGAGGTCAGGAGACCTGTAGGAAGCTCTTAAAATTATCCAGGCAGGAAGGGCAGGCCTAACCAGGCAGTGGCAGTGGAAATGGAGAGGAAGAGGCTGGGGGAGGTGTAGGGGAGATAAACTCAGCAGGGCCTAGTCATCCTGGGCTACGGGGGCAAGGGAGAAGCCTGCCATTCCCATCTTACCTCGGGCCTAACTGGTGAAGAAAAAGTAGGAGTGGGGCAGCTCAGGCTATACCTGGCCCCCAAGAGCAGCAAACTCATCTTCCCTTTAGCAATTGTCCCTGCATTGTCGCATGATGGGATGAGGTGCATCCACTCAGACTCATGCGGTGGGGTCGCTGGGGCTGATGAGGGGGTTGCTGTGGGCCTGTGCCGAGGGGCAGTGGGGCTGCCACGCTTGGTCCCGGGCTCTGGTCTCCTCAGCTTCCTTGGCACTAAGGATGTGTTTGCACTTTGCATCAAGAAGGTTGGGCCTGTCCCCCAGCTCTGGAAAGGAGCCAGCCTTCCCTAAACTAGTGGCCTTTCCTGCTCCTTCATCTGGGGCTTTCTTCCTTGGGCCTGGTGTCCAGATCTTAAGGAAGCCCCTGCTTTTCTTGCTCCTGCCAATGCTCCTCTTTCCTGCCCTCCTGGCCCTGCTGTCAGCGCCCCCTAGTGCCAGGACGGCCATGCATGAGGGCAAGGGCCTCTCTGGAAGCCAGTGGGACCTCAGAGATTTCCCACAACCTCCTTGGCTGGCTTGTGAGGAAAGAAGGGAATTGAAGGAGCTTTCTTGGAGTCTGGAGCTTCTGTATAGAAATCGCAGGGTCTATTCTTTGCTTTCCCATCCTCTCCCACTCTTGGTGCAACGGCCTGTACTCTCAAATTAGGCTGAGACTGAAGAATGAGCAGGAAGAAGAGAGCCCATGCCACAACCTTGTTTTCTGTCCATATTTAGATAACTCTTGACTTATCCCAGGGTCAGACCCGACAGGGCAGCCCATGTGTCTTGGAGATCAGGGGCCATCGTCAGGCCGGCAGCTTGTGTTCACAGCCCTCTCCTTCCACTGTCTCCTCGCTGCTGAGAGATTCCAGTGTCCTTTCAGCCTGGGCTCAGTCCCCAGATATAGCTGGTGCAGCCTGAGGGCCCCTCATGCCTGGGCCCAGGTGCCTTCTCCCAATCCACACACAGCACAGACTCCCCCAATCCATTCTGTGGCTGCTGCTACTGGGCAGCCTCAGTGCTTTGGGGGTGACCTACAGGGAGTGAGGGTCAGTGGTTAGTCCCTGGCTGGCTGGTGATGGCCAGCCCGGGATTAAAGGCCATGATCCATTCCCTAACCAAAGCCAGCTGTGCTGCATGTGTATGGTGGCAGGGAGCCTGGGAGCCGGTGCAGGCTGGAGATAAAGGTCTCAAGCCAGACCAGAGAAGTGTAACATTCGAGCACACCTTGTTGTTTCAAATGACTGCTGTGAGGTCCTGAGCTCCTGAGGCGGACAGGCAAGACCCCCTGAGTTCCAGGCAGGAGGACTTGGAGAAGGAGAGGTTGCAGGTCACCACATCTTGGCTTGGGGCAGACTCCTAGAGTCTGCCCTGGGATTTGTGTGCCCACATCTCAGAGCCCACTATGAGGGACTGAAAGGATAGTAACTGGCCATTTCAAAAACTAAGAAGTAATTCCTTCGTCCCTGCATTCAGCATGCAAGGAAGTCTATTCCCAACCCACCTACCCTAGTGACTGTCTTGGGTCAAGAGATGGTGGGCAATTAAGTAAGATGCCTACAGCTGCATGAGATGGGGCCAGGTGCTGTATCCAAGATGGCAGCATGGCTGTGCCGGGGCCAGGGAAGGGGTGAAGGAGGGAGTGGGAGCCTCCCTGCCTGCTTCCCAGGTTGACTCTGAGCATGTACGTTCTGGGGGGCCTCTAGGAGACTTGGAGGCTAAGAGGAAGGGAGAAAGGAGGACTCTAGGCAAGCAGGGACCTCCTCTCCTTTGGAATAGGCTCCACTCAAACCAGGCATTCCCTCCTGCAGAGAAACAGGACACTTTCCAGGAGGTGCCAAAGATGAACCGGGGCCTGGCCAGCAGGTGGATTGTGTGGGTGAGAGTGAGTGAGCAAGTGAGTGGCTAAGCCAGGGTCGAAGCTGCAGGGCAGGTGAGGCAGGGGAGGACAGGTAGGGACAGTTCAGGCAGGGAAGCTGAGGCCCTCCCTGTGTCCTGGCTCCTCCCCTCCTGCCTGACCTGTAAATCCAGGACAGCAGCCACTTGTGGAGTTGGGGGAGCATGCTGACTGAGCACGAGAATGTGTGCAGATGTGGGCATGTGCCCCACGTATGATAGTGTGATCCAGACAAATCATCAGGGTGGCCATACTTTGGGCCTTAAGGTGTTCCCACAATGAGGGAACAACTGGAGCCTGCCAGCAAAGGGAGCATCTCCCTTTGGCTGAGCCTCCCTGTGACCCGAGCTGCCACCTGGCCCATCTGGGGAGCACGTGGGGATCCCCCTGCAGAAGGATGTAAATGGACCCAGATTGGTGCCTCAAGGAAGGCAGCTTGGCCCAGGGTGTGCCCCTGCTCCCCAGAACGCACTCTGACCAGGCCTGGCCATCTCCTCTGTCTTACAGAACTACAGCGAGAGGGAAGCATCGAGACTCTGAGTAACAGCTCAGGTTCCACCAGCGGCAGCATCCCAAGAAATTTTGATGGCTACAGATCTCCGCTGCCCACCAATGAGAGTCAGCCCCTCAGCCTCTTCCCTACCGGCTTCCCATAGGTACCAGCAACCTGCTTCTGATTGGCTGGCCCACTCACCTGCTGGAGGGAGGGGGAGAAGCCCCCCTCTGGTCCTCCACTTCAGTCTCTGCTCCTCTTTCACCACCGTCTTCCCCAAGCTTAGTGACAACAGCCACCCACCCTCCCTGGATTGAGAAGAGACCCTTCTCCAAAGCACCTCGGCGCACTCTGAACTCTGCCCCCCATCAGCAGGGCTGTGGCTGAGAGAGACTCTGCAGAAGCTCCGTCCCCTCCTCCGTTTGCACATTATGTCCTGCATTGGATCCGCTTTTGTATTTTCTAACCACACCCACAGGGGTCCTGGGTGAGGAGAGTGTGGATGGCCTGGCTGGGCATTTTGACCCTGAGTGGACAGCCCCAGCCCACTCCTGGCTGTGGGGCACATGGCCCAGCTTCCCTTGGCCAGCCTCCCTCCAGCATGGAGTGAACTGAGGCCCAGAGCATGAGGGAAGGAGGAGGGAAGGAGAAGCCCCCCTTCCTCTTCTCTTTCCCCTTTGGCTCCTGGGAAGGATTTGTCTTTCTTGTCTGTAAGCCCTTTACCCTGGTTCTGTGCTGTTCAGTGAAGGAAACTGTGGTTACTGAGGCCCTGTCAAAAAGTGCACGTCTTGTCCAATAAATCACGCTGCGATTGGTGTCCATCCCTGAGTTGCTGGGGTCAGGGTCCTTTCCAAGCACTGAGCAGAGTCCTGTGGGCCTGACCATGTGTCCCTGCTCCCACCACCGCGTGCCCCGACACGTGCAGCTGAGGGGGGAGTCAGTGAGGGGGTAGAAGGAGAATGTTTGCTCTGGAATTTGGGTGGGGCCTGATTTAAATCCATTCTCCAACCTTCTTGCCTGTTACCAGAGCCAGTGAGTTCTGGGGGCGCCACAGGCCTGGACTCTCCCTGGCTGTGGCAGTCAGGGCCAGTCAAGTCCTTGGCATGTGCTGGTGGGCTACTGTGGGACAAAAGCCTGCTGAAGACTCTGGCCTTCTCTTTGGGACAGGCACCTTGTAACTGCCTCTTTCTTCAAACTCAGAAGGTGGAAGCGTGATCAGGTGAAGGTGGGTCTCTCATGAATCCTGGCTGGAACCTTGGATGACAAGTTCCTGATTTTGTTCCCTACCCTCCTCCCAATTCTGGACCTAAAGTGAATGGAAGGAAGGAGACAGGAGCAGGGGGAGCAAAAATGAGTGTTGAGTAGGAAGGAGACTAATGCTAGCCATATCCCCCTTCCCTGAGCCCTAGGGGAGGCCTGGGACGATTGAAGGAAACCACTGAGCCAGGTGT